CATATTTAAAGGCGGAGCTCTATTTCTTTGTCTTTCCACATCTTTTCTTTTGACATCCATATCTCTTGTTGACAATAAAAAAAGATAAACTGTTGGTGCAAGCTGTGATGGCCAACATGATAAGCCATTTTTTACCCACTCCAACTGAGAGGCTGATCCAATTATATATATCTTATCTTGGTTTTTGTGGTTTTCTCATCGTTTGTATGCATGATTGTTAGGCTACGCAATATATAGCGCTCCTTATCTCTAGCTAGATAGCTCAGGCCGTACCTCAAGCTCAAGGATATGTAAATGCAATTATTAATGATTTGATGTATTGACATTTCTTTTTTTTTTTTTCCCTCTGAAAAAACAATATGCAGGAGATGAAAGAGAGACGACAAGTCTATACAAGACAGATCTATCTAGACAGGAATTGAAGAAAAAATAAGAAAACTTGGTAGCTAGTCAGAGATCAAATAGACCACACACACACTTCCTATCTGACAGAAGCACCGATAAGCATGTTCACTCTTGACATCTTTTTTTTTTTTTTGGTGAAACACTCTTGACATCCTTTTATGCTTAAATATTACGAAATCCTGTATTAATATATACGTCTTTTGCTTAATTTAATGTCTTCAGTACTCACTTTTACACCATGGCTTATTCCAATAACTGCAAGCTTTGGGTTTGATATATATTATATTTATTGCTTTTGCTGGAGTTCAAAATACTACTTTCAGTTCTTAATATAGGATCTCGTTTGACTCTTATTTTGGTCCTAAATATAAGACCCTAATTCACTTTGTGTCTAATATTTATGCATTCTTTTTCAAGATAGTCCTTTTAACAATGGTAGTTCTAGCCAATAAACTTGATTAGTAAGGATATTTTAGGAAAGATAACACTTCTTTATGACAAATAACTAACTTAACTTCTTTTCTTAATCTCCTCAAATTAGTCAATTAACTCTTATAATTAGGACCGGAGCTAGTAGCACAGTTACTAAACCAGTAACTGAACTAATTAAATCTAATATGACTGTAAATGCGATCTGCAAGCTTTCTATCTGTTATCTACACATAACACAAATGAACTCGGCGGATATATTGGCAAGCGGAAGAAAAGTAACATTCTTTGCATAGGAATCAAAAGAAAAAGAGAAAAGAGAAAAGAGAAAATAAAGGACAAGAAACAGAGGAATGAATGAGAAGGGAAAGAAGGAAAAGAAAAGAAATATGACTTAGCAGAGAATAAATGAACATACCTGCAGAAGTAGTCGACATGTGATATTTATATATGTAGTTGGAGGGAAGAGAAGTGCAAAATGAGATATTGACGCGGCTCAATTAAACTACATGGCTTCTTCTTCACATATAACCATGTCTTCAAATTGAGGCGCGCCAATACCTTTTATTCATGCTTCCCCCTTCCCCATCACCTCTCGGAATCCAAAAGCACCGTGCACAGTACACACAGACATATTCTTCAGCCAAGAAAAGATAGAAAGCAATAATGGGAGATAGATGCTCATGATATGGAAGCTTTACAGAAGAGTCGAGTGGCTTTTAATGGGTACAGCAGCGATTCTCTTGGTGAGATCCGCGCCAAAAAGCCGAAAGAATAATCAAACACTGCTTATGTGTGGTTATGTACGTTTGCACTATTTGACTGACCTTTTTTCTCCCCCATCTCCACGTAGGGACCAGTTTTCCTTTTGCTTTCATTGGTCTGTTCTGGTTTTTTTGGCTCCTTATTTTCAGTGCATTACCACTTCTTTTCCTCATTCTACACTGTTTCCTATTTACTATATACATAGCTAGGTCACCTAGTGGTATGGCATCCACCATGATTTATGATTGATGCCTCTCCCCGCATCAAGTTTGGCTTCTGTTCGAATCAAATTAACTAGAAGCCTCTTTTCAATTAAAACTCAAGATTCCAGGATAAATAATATAATGAATTCTCCAAATATATCGACATATTGTGCCTAGTATGCTAGTCTTCACCTTTCCAGGAGAGACAACACTTCTTATTTTGACGTGTAAAATAATTTAAACAATATCATTACTGTATAACTGGACATAGATGCCTATGGTATTGGGAAGTAGAGCTGATGTCCATAGTTCCTCCTCTTTATTTTTTTATTTAAATTGTCATAAAATTTACCCAACATTGTGGACCACTAAAATTGATATACATCGTTTTCTAACTGTTAGAGAATATACATATGTAGTATGCCATCATCAAGTTTTCCGAACTTATGATTCTCTTACACATACCATATATATCAATTATGATATCCCTTCCTCCTATCTTATTAGGTTAGCCATGAGTTCCAAGAAAAAACCACTTTATTCGTTTTAAGAAATCCAGCGTATTTAACTATCTGTAAATTAAAAGAGCATGTATAATTTGTACTGTGAGAATGGACTCTCTCCCTCTCTGTGTCTGTTTTTTTCCCTTGGGGCAGTGGGGTAGTCACGGACCAGCCAAGAATGGGGAGACCCGCAAATTGCTCAATTTTCATACTGTCACAAATCTCTTGGGGAAACACCTACTCACCTAACTCTTGGAAATTAAAGCCCTATTCTCTCTTTGTATATTGCATTGTGGATTTAGATATGTCCCATTCATAAACACCTTGCAGATTCTTGATAGGTCAATCACTATCCGTCTCTTTCTGCTTTGACTTCCTCTGCGACTGTTTTCATTATTGTTAATCGCAGATCCTCCGTCTTGTTGCTTTTCATCTTAGGATTCCATTTAGTGGCTGCTACATACTGCTTAGTTTTTATTTTGGAAGGCCAAAAGTGGTACTGCCTCTTGTGATATTCTTTTTATAGGGATCAGAGAGGTATAAATTACATGCTAGTTATGCTGATTTTCTCTTTATAGTGAATCTAGCTCCTAATATAAGTCATCATTATTTCTCGGCTTAGAAACTAACAATTTATGGATGATAACAAGTGCAAATTGAGCTAACTCGACCAAACATAATAATGCAAATTAAAGCGAAAATTATATTTATTGTTATTCCAACCGAGTACTTGCGCAGGAATAAACTGAAAGGACGTTTAGGAAATCCATGTCTGATCTATATTTTCCTCTTTTAAACCTTGATCCCCTTTCCTGGATTCTCGTCCTCCACAATTTTCCCAGTTCGAGTTCTTTTTGTATTCTTTTTCTTTTATATTTTTTTTCTTCCAGCTCTGACTTTGAAGAATACGTGTGATGTTCAAGTCATTTTTATTCACGTACCTCAATGTTGAACTCGATTCCTGATACCACCATGGTACATATTCCTTTTACATCTAACAAAGGAAGCAGCAACTCAAGTACCATGTTTTTAAATACTTTAAAAAGTGAAAATCATAAATAATGATATATTAACAAAATCCCTATAGCGGACTCGTGAGCTGTGCTCCGTTCTTGCGCACTTTATGTAATGTATACATGAAAAATGTGTCCTAGTTATTATGAATGCATGAATAAGTTCAATATAGTCCAAAACATTTTTGGGTGAAAAAAAAATGCTATATTGTAATTTAATTTTATGGGTTTGAGCATAAAGCTATTTGAGAAGTGCGAAGCGTGATTTTTTTTTTCCTTTGAAAAATGACAAATTAAAGTCCGCCGAAAGATAATGACATTTAAAGACCTTACATCCTAAAAACGACATTAAAAGAAAACACTCAAGTCCTTGGCTGATAGGAAATCAGTTGCACCAAAATACCTCTATAGTTTGCAACTGTATTGTCTACAATTTTCAACTAAATTTTTTTAATTTTAGAACTAAAACAATATACGAACCTAAAACTGATTATTGGAATAATTTATAATTGTACGAATGGGGAGGAGAAATATCGTATGAGGGGAAGGAGTTCGGGCCGAAGCAATGATACCCAATTAAGGGTCTACTGTATGCTGGGCTGAGTCTTGTCCTTGCTTCCCATCTCTGGGCCCACTTTTCATGGACCTCGTCAACTTCTCCAAATGGATCGATCATCGATAATAGGCATGCCCACTTGTTAGCCGTTTGAGTCACTTAACTCAGTATTGTGCCCAGATCAGCCATAACGTCGTAATTAGCTGGTTTGTACTTTGGACGGTAATGGAATTTATTCTGTTCTGTTTAGTTTTTGTTCAAACATGGTGCCTTCCTATATTGATTGAAATGATTATCAAAATAGTACCGCTTTACAAGCCTCCGCTGAAAAAGAAAATAGGTCGACGGGATGGTGATATATATATATATAAGGTGAATTGAAAGTCCAATATCGGCAAAGAATGATCATTGAAACCTACCACTTTGCTCTGAGTTAATTTTCTGATATGCCCATTCAGAACCGTCCGCAATTTAATTCCACACAGAGCGTTAGCAAATGAAGGCGCGTTGGCAGAGTTGACCAGCTCAAATTAACTCAACAACATCCATCTACTTCATGCAGAAGTAAGGGTGCTGCCCTTCCATACATACTGCTTTGTCTAAATTAGTAATTACTCCGCGTTTGACTTCTTATCCACTTGTTCCTCAACTTGCAAAATATTTCTGAGTTCAGGACGACATGCAGTTTAACAAAGGCTGAGACGACGAAAAATTGAGCAGCTTCTTAAAGGTTAACACCCACACACAGAAGTTCGAGAAACTTTAAAATGTCTTTGATGATCGATCAGAGCATGCGTCCTCTTGGGATGATCTTAGCACTGCGTCTGCTAAACTATATAGTCATTTTCTGATGTGCCGCTAATGCACCATGGAAGTTATTCGTAGTGGATTGAAGTGCATTATATCTACCATTGCATGTATATTTGAATTTCCTTGTTTCGTCACAACATTAAATGTTAGGGCCACTCCCCAACGGTTCAGAACATGCACCAATTAATGGTTGCCCAATGGAACAGTCATGGAGGCTAGCGGACGAAGCCTATAAAAGGCATAGACTGATAGCAAGGAACTGCAAGCTCATACACATTGCTTTGCCTTCCTTTAGACACTTTCGTGAGAAGAAGCAATGGCAGGTTTCTGTCGAAAATCGCTCTTGACGGCTGTTCTCGTTCTCTGCATTGTTCTTCAATTAAGTTGGATTACTGTTGGAGATAATAGCAGGCTTGAGGAGGCTAGGTTCAGAGACGGTGGCTGCCGATTTGGACCTGGACCACGCTGCAGAGGTTGGTTTGGTCCTCGTGGGCCTCGCGGCCCTCGCGGTGGAGGAGGTGGATTTGGTGGTGGTCCTCGGGGAGAAGTCGGAGGAGGAGGAGGGGGTTTTGGTGGCGGAGGAGGCATTGGTGCTGGTGGAGGTGGGGGTAGAGGAGGTGGCGGTGGATTGGGTGGGGCTTCAGGACACGGTGGAGGCTTTGGAGCTGGAGGTGGTGTCGGGGGAGGTTCTGGAGGCATAGGTGGTGGCGGTGGGGGAGGAGGTGGAGGCGGCGGGGAGGATTGGGTGGCAGTTCAGGACATGGTGGAGGCTTTGGAGCTGGAGGTGGTATAGGTGGAGGTTCTGGAGGCACGGGTGGTGGGGGTGGAGGTGGGGGAGGGGGAGGAGGTGGTGGCGGTGGTTTGGGTGGCGGTTGGGGACATGGTGGAGGCTTTGGAGCTGGAGGTGGTATAGGTGGAGGTTCTGAAGGCACAGGAGGTGGTGGGGGAGGGGGAGGTGGCGGTGGTGGTTTGGGTGGCGGTTCAGGACATGGAGGAGGCTTTGGAGCTGGGGGTGGTGTTGGTGGAGGCGCAGGGGGCTTAGGTGGCGGTGGTGGGAGAGGAGTAGGGGATGGTAGGGGCAGAGGAATAGGAGGAGGGGGAGGATTTGGAATAGGAATCGGGATTGGAATAGGAGTAGGAGCTGGCAATGGCCATGGATCTGGCACGGGCTCTGGCAGTGGCGGCGGCGGTCGACATTAAGCTTAATGTTGTTATTCCCTTGTTGCAGTTCACGTATTTTTTCCATATCGCTGGTTTGGCCCGACTTCTATTTAGCCACTGCTCGTTTTGGGGGCTGAAGACAGGTCATGTTGTTATTATCATTAATAAATATTATAAAATTCCAATCAAAATATCTAACCCTTGATATTTGCATACGGACATTACATGCAGTCTAAGAGTGCAGATTATATTGCATGGGAGATTAACGATAGTTTTCAAAGGCAAATTTATTCTAGAAAGGCGGACAGTTTAAAGGAGTTGAGAAAGTCAAATGCATTTTGGAGCCTTTGGAAAAAGAATGTTGCATACCAAAAATAGGAAACCGGAAAATGAGTGGAGAGGCGCATCTGCAGCTAAACTAAATGGCCAGGAAAAATGCTGGAGAAATAAATTAACTAACATGCTGCGGACATCAAAAATAAGATGGGAATGACTAACTGCGGTCTTTATCAAGTTTCACATTTGAACGTCGTAGAAGCAAGAGTTTCTTTGTTCATTAACCAACCAACCATCTATTTGGCACGTACAAGGCATAGGCACAGCACAGTCTGCAACTCCGGCCGATTCAAAAACAAGCCGCTCACTCGCGTCCTTCATTCTTAGGGTTTCGTATATTGTTATTTGCAGAAGAAGATGTTGGTGCCGGTGTTTTCGGTGATAGCTGGGGAGTTGACTGTGATACTGCTTCTGCTATTCAAGACGCCGCTGAGGCAGGTGGTGATCATGAGCTTGGATCGGCTGAAGCAGGGTCGGGGCCCCGTCGTCGTTAAGACTGTGGACGGCACACTCTTCGTGCTCTTTGCTTCCAGCCTCTATAACGTCGTCTCCATCCACCAGCGCAGCGTTAGCGACTCTACCGCCGTCAACCCCACCGATCAGTTCCTTATGTATAAGCATTTGCTCGAAGCTTCTGCCATCGGTGATTTTCCCATCTCCCTCCCTCTTCTAACTTCTTTTTACCATCCTCTCAATCTGACCATCCTACCCTGATCGACAATTTCATCCCCGCCAAACTGAGCATGACAATGGCCATATCGTAGTTATCTTATTGGGCTTCTGGCCCATCTTAAAAGAATGAACCAACAAGTTTAAGCCCATATAGGAGAGCATTGGGCCTTGCTCTCTTCATATCTGAACTAATGAAAGCAGCGTCATGCCCCATGTGAACGTTCGCAGTTGTATAACGTCTCTCAGCCAAGTCAAATTCCAATTTTGATAAACGAATTTTAAAACGCAACATTTATCTCTGGAAAAATGATGACGCTAAACGAAAACACTGCGAAAGGTAAATTGTTTTGACTAGGAATTGAACATTTTGAAGGAATTGGAAAAGTCGACAAAGATATAATTATGATGTGACAATTAGTTCATTCTGGCTTTTTGGACATTAGATCATTCAGCTTCTAAGTGTTAGTTCATCATTTGAACTGCGGAATGTGAGGAGGTGCATAATTGGAAAAGAATGAGCAGAGAAAAGTGATACAAGTTTCTTACGCATATGTATCACAGTAATGCCTTGCCTTGGTTAAGTATCTAGTTCAAATCACTGTAATATAGGATTTCTTGTTTGGGATGCTGGAAGGGATTATTAAAATATTCTTTGATTATAGATTTACCCTTCTCATGGCAGATTTTGGTATTGCATATTATTCATTGTTTACAGGCAGTTTGCTGTAAACCCCTATAGTTTTCTTTATACTGGATAAGATTATATTTCATGCAACAAAATTGGTTCTGTGTCAATATCTTGTTTCTCCTTGCATAAGCAATTTGTTCTTCTGTTAGTATATATCAGATCGAATACCGTACATATATATGTGTGTTGTGTATGTTATACATGGCGAATTTGATATTTTCAGGGTTTGCACTGTGCCTCTCTCTGATGATTGATAGATTCCACAATTACATAAGAGAGCTTCGGACGCTGAGGAACAGCATGGAGGCGGCTAAGAAGCAAATTCGAAGTGTCCAGGATGGTAAAAACGTGAGTACTGAAGAGGAAAAACCATTGGTTGAAGAGGTAGCCGTATTGAGGCCCAAAGTTAAGCAGCTGGAATCTGAATGTGAGGTGAAAGATGGCAAGGCTAAGGCTTTGGAAGTTGAAGTAGAGTCTCTTAAGAAGCAATCTGAGGGATTACTCGTGGAATACAATAAACTCTTGGCAGACAATCAGAATCTCCGGTCTCAGCTGGAGGCCTGATAAGTGATAACAACAAACAAATACATTGCAAACCAGTTAATTTTTCCTTTCAGTTTTATCAGATTTCGTCCTGTTGAAACGTTCAGGTTTCCAAACCCAGAATGGGGAGGTCATCGATGGAGTTATATTTTATGTGTATAAAGATTTTAGACTGATTCTCTTCGTGATCTCAGTAAACTAAAACTGGCCTTTTCTTTCTTTGATAAAAGTGCAGTAGTCACACTGACCTTCCCCTTGAAGCTTATCAGTTACCAGTTGCAAGCGTTCGTGTTTTTTTAAACTGTCAAATTCACGTGATAACTACATTGATACTTGTAAAACTGAAGTACTTAACGACTAAAAGATCATTATAATGTCTTGCTTTAACCGTCGACCCTGCCACTCGAACAGCTATAAATAGAGAAGCCATTTACAGACCAAATTCATCTCCTTTCATTGTTGGTAATTCATAATGGCTCTTACATTTCCAAAACCATCCAAGCTCATTTCCTTCTCATTGCTCCTCCTCATAAACTTAGCTCTGAACCCTTGGGAAGGCAGTGGAGAACAACAGAACCTGGTGTTCTTCCTGCAAGATGTGTCAATAGGACCTAACGCAACAGTGGCCCCAGTGGCCGGCGTAAAAGGTAAGGAATGGTCCTATAACACATTTGGAACCATTTATGCGGTTGATGATCTCGTAACAGCGGGTCCTAATAGGAACTCAGCCCCAGTTGGGAGGGCTCAGGGTCTGCTTGCAACAGGTGCTTTGGATGGGTCTAATGTGAACATCTTTCTCTCAATTGTGTTCACCAATTTGCAGTATAATGGGAGCACTTTGCAGATTCAAGGCGTTAGCCGTCAAAGTGAGAATTACAGAGAGGTTTCTGTGGTTTCAGGGACTGGCAGGTTTCGCTTTGCCAGGGGATACGCTGCGTTGGAGACTTATTACTATGATCCCAATACTACTTACTCTATCGTCCGCTTGTCTATTACTTTGCTCAATTCTTCTGATGGTCATTAAATTTCAATGCCTTTTGAATATCATCTTAGTCTTTATATAGTAATGTGAAACGTGGACGTGCGTATGACTAAATCCTTCATCATTTACTGTTTTGAGGGTTCGAGTCCCAATATATGAATATGATCATGGTATTTGTCATTTTAATAGGTTGATCTTCTGTAGTTTCAAGTTTGGCATCTGCTACTGCACTTACCATGTCACTCTTTTTTCTTTTCTTCAACCTCAAAAGGTAAAGAAGACAAATATAAATCAATAATCTTTCACCATCCACTAGTTGTCTTTGATAATGTTTAACCCAAAATTAGAGCGAACTTAAAACAAGTTGCTGAATTCAAATACCAACTCTTTTGCATACCATAATCCAATTGAGAGAATTTTACCATTTGCGACATTATATTGACATGGGTGTCTTTAAGTAGTAAGAACAAGTTCACTATTTAAATTTTCATAGACTAACTGATTGCTTTTGGGGATTTGTACTAACAACACACTTGGTGTTTCTTTCACGTGACACATGATATACATTTTTAGACGTACACTTCATGATTGATGCTAAGACCTGAGATTTATTTGCCGTTTCTGACAGCTTAATACACCAGTAAAGTGTGTTTCTAACAAAACTAGTCTTGAGTGCAGTATATGGTATATTTTAGAGCTGATCATGTGGAAATGGAATTCAATAAAATACAAGATTAAACTAGAATGTTCAAGAGCTAACAGGTTTCTAGATCAATTTCTCCGTTGTTCACTTGAATGGGTTAAAACTAAAAAATTTAAAGACAAATCATGCCGGAAAGATTTTGTTTTGTCAAACATGATAATTACGAATTTAGAGATGTTATTTAACAGAAGTTCAAACCCATTTTCGTGCATCCAACGTAACAGAGGACACCAAGGTAGGCAAGAACGATCTAACAATCAGTGAGACCATAAAATGGTAAACAGAAGTGTGATGTAGGAAACTCTGTCTTATATGAGGACAAGTTATGATATAGACCCCTACTATCTGAGTCAGAAACAAAATTCTGCCTTGATCAACAGCCTCACCTTCTTCCACTTGTTAACAGCAGTAAATCTTGTCCTCCCCAATCAGTGGCTTCCACATCTTCTGTTGCAACTTTCTAGTTTCTACCCCTTTTAAGTGGTAATTTCTACCTTCCTTCCTGATCACACCTCAGACCCAAATTCCAACACTAATTGGCCACGGTACGGTAATTATATTATACACAGACATGTGCATCGTTCACCTACTTGAAAAGTCACCCACATGTGGCACCTACCCTTCTTCATCAGCTACGTAGAAGATGATAAAGATGTGTGCGTGGAAGTGGCTGATGTTATGTGGGGGCACAAGTTAATGGAATTGGACACCCCTAATAAATTGTTTTTATTAGCCCATTTGATCTGTATATTCAATGATGGTCGTGTTATTATCAGTGTTGGCCCACTTTACTTAAGGCCATTTGCCTTCTTCTCTTCCGAACCACTCATGAAGCTGATTAAATATATCTCTTGGACCTCAGTTTGCTGCGTATGCAAGTCCCTGCCGCATGAAATCAAATATGAATTAAATAAATTTCATGCGACAAATATTCATTGTATTTCCCACGCGTCTCCAATTATTTTATTTCTCCACACAAGATGGTAGGTCCTCCACCGAACATGGAGGCTATTCTCTGTAACCAGCCTGCCCTGCAATAGAATGTGACCAAGAAGCTTCCTTTTATTATCGATAGGAACCCTTCGGTATATTTCTTGGTGAAAGAAAATGGATAATTTAATGTGGGTACGAATTATAAATTCCCATCGTCAGTTGGCAGGTTTAGGATCTGATTCCCTTCCATTACGAATCCAAAGGTCTTATTCATGACAATGAAAGGAAAACACCAGTTTCAAAGTAGTTGACAAAGACACGTCTATGAGGTCTTCAATGCTCGATAAGACACAACCTGAGTTTGGTAATTTTCATTCAGATTTTTCAAACAGGGCTCAAATTAAGTGGCTCTTAGTTGTCAAGTACAGAGAACAAACTATAAATAATTTTCTCAGTTAATGCATGAACTATTCATGAAACAGAAAAACAATAGAGCAATCGTCTCAGCCGCGTATATTGTTGCTTCTGATCAAGAACTAGTTTTTTTAAGTAGACATTCTTTTCCTTTCGTTCTCCTCAGTCCTTTGTCTATAAATACATCGACCTGTTTTCAGAAACTGAACTGGGAATTTGTACTAGTCTGCCATCCTAAAACACGGCGAAAATGAGCGAGGGAGAGAAACAATCACAACCACAGATAGTATTACAAATTGATGATCCAATCACAGAAACTGAATCAAATCCCAAGTCTATAATCCATGTCCTATCTTCTTTATCCCGCATCTTATCAAAGATCCATGCAGGGTACTTCAGGATTGCTCTGGCTCTCGCCAGTCAAGCTTTACTGTGGAAGATCCTCATAGAGCCCATCCAAGACGCTCATGCTCTTAGACGCTTGTTCACAATAGTACCCTCCACGGTTTTAATTCTCCTATGGTCAGTAGCATTAGCCACACTGGCCATACTCTCTTTTCTCTACATCCTAAGATGTTTCTTCCACTATGACAAGGTGAAGGAAGAATTCTTAAACCCCGTGGGAGTAAATTACCTCTTTGTCCCCTGGATCTCCGGGCTGTTATTGCTACAAGCGTCACCCCATATTCCTCCAAACACGGTACATTACCAAGTGTTTTGGTTGCTGCTAGTGGTTCCTGTGGTGGTGCTTGATGTAAAGATCTACGGGCAATGGTTCACCAAAGGGAGGCGACTTCTGTCGATTGCGGCTAACCCAACGAGTCAGTTATCAGTGATAGGGAACTTGGTGGGTGCGCAGGCGGCTGCGAGAATGGGTTGGGAGAGAGAGCGGCCTGTGCTTATTTTCTCTGGGGATGGCTCATTATTTGGTGCTGTTTGTGACGCTGTACCAGAGGCTACCAGGAGATAATAGCCTGCCTCCAATGCTGCGTCCTGTTTTCTTCTTGTTCTTCGCTGCACCCAGCGTGGCTAGCCTATCGTGGCATGCTATCTCTGGCAAGTTTGATGATTTCTCCAAGTTGCTCTTCTTCCTCTCGCTTTTCCTCTTCACGTCCCTGGTAAGATATCATTGTTTGGAGATCAACATACATGAATGTTTTAATTAGTTGAAAGGCTAACTTGGTGGGCTTTTGTTTGTTTGGTATATTAGGTTTCAAGGCCTCTGCTATTTAAGAGGGCGATGAAGAAGTTCAGTGTGGCGTGGTGGGCTTATTCTTTCCCTTTGACGGCTTTGGCGCTGGCTTCAGCACAGTACGCGCACGAAGTGAGAGGGATCATAGCCCATGCGCTTATGTTGCTGTTATCCGCAGTCTCTGTGTTGGTCTCTCTCTTCTTGATGGTCGTTACTGTTTTTCACTCTCACAGGCCGCCGCCTCATTCTTCTGGCACAGCCCCAAGCGACGACTGCGCAACGACGTCGTCAGGTATTGACTTAAGTTAATCCCTCAGTTTTTAAGGCTGCATCTTTTGTAAGTAGGACGTTAATATAGTTAATGCTAAACACATTCAACTTGTTCGACTAGATCATCATAGCTGTAAATTAATTAATTAGCCTTGTATTTCCCTTGCCAAACTTTACTGTAATAGCTTAAAGATGCTGATTTATGCAACAGAGATTGTCTTATTCCTTTCCTTTTCTCATTATCTTCTGATTGTTTTGTACGTGAACAAAAATTTTGGCCGAGGCGGGTTTGACTCATTACTTAAGTGATTATTTTATTTTAATATGAAAAAACGCACATAATTATTAGCATGTTATCTAGTGCTAGCTCAAATCACGAGAGCATATGAAAAAACGCACATAATTTTTATACTTCATCGTCACGTGATTAAATTAAATAATTGCTTCCCACTTACTTCCCCCGTCCTTAATTATGAAGGGCTATTAATAACTATATATATTCTATATCTGGAACTAATTATAAAAGCAAGTTAACTAATTTGAGAAGATTTAAAAATTTAAGTTAATTATTTGTAATAACAAGTTTGTCTTTCCTAAAATATCTTTACTAATCAAATGTGTTAGTTAAAATTATCATTATTAGAAAGGTTACCTTGAAAAAAATACATAAATATTAGAGACAAAATAGATTGGAATCCTATTTAGACCAAAATAAAAGTTAAATAAAATTTTTACTAACCAAATGTGTTAGTTAAAAAGTTAAGGTTATTATAATAAAGTAAGTTAATCCTTGTTATTTAAAAAATAAAAATATTATTAAGATTAAACATAATTGGATTATTCTTAAAATAATTAGAGAAAAATATTAAATTCAAATTGGGTCTTATAATAAGGACCGGAGGAGTAATATATAGAAATTCAATTAACATCAATGAGTGCTTTAATCTTTTAAAACTGTCCTCAATAAATTTGTTTGTCAGCGTACCCTCAATAAAATTTAGTGATCAGAAGCAATTGTTTGGTCAGTTGAATATTATTTATTTAGTCGATGAATATCAAAACAAATAATAAAATGCCTTATAACTATAAGAACCATAATGGTTCATCAAATAATTTAATGATAAACACGTCAGCTTTTTTTTTTTTTTTAAATACATACACGGCGAGCCACCGGCTAAAACGGAGTCCTACAGCATCCCGGGTTCGACCTCATGAGATGTTCTCCTTGTCCATTCTCAAGAGGTCTCTACACGGCGCTGGTGCCTGAGGCAAAAAGATATCCTCCGCGTCAAGCGAGTGAGCTATTCGGCCACAAAATCTGCACAAAGCTGACTTTCCCTATAGGTAGGGGTAATGCCGTAATGACAAGGTTCCAGTCAGAGAAAATCAAAGCTCTGGTCTCTTGATCAACATCAAATAGCGGGTGGGAAGAACCACCCTCCACAAATAACAAACACGTCACTTTTCTTTTCAATTATTGGTGGGAAGGAAAATCCGAGAAAAGTGCCCTGAACCTGAAGCCTCAGACTTGGTCCAAAAGTAACGAGAAACATTTTCAATTGACTCAACCAGCCAGGGGCGGACTAAAGTGTATCTAGGGACTCAAAGTGTTTTTTTTATTGTATTTTAAAATATTTTGTGATACAATAAATATTTTAAAATATTTTTTTAAATACATTCAGCATCTTAAAATATTTTTTGTAGTATATTCAGTGTGGTAAAATATTTTTTAAATGCATCTAACATTCAAAAAATATTTCTGGTATATCCAGTACCATGACAAAAAATTATTTTAGAATGCCAAACACATTTAAAAAATATTTTAAAGTGTTAAATACATCACAAGATATTCTAAGTATTAGATGTAGCAAAGAAAAATACTTTAGAACCCACGTTAACCCAGCTATATATATATATATATATGCCCTCACGGCCCTTGGTTGCCGCAACCCTTGAAGGATGCTTTCGCAAGTTCTCACTTCGTTCGACTCCGGGGGTGTTTGGATAGAAACCAAACCATGGTTTCAGAAGTGTTTTTACGGATTACGAAGTAAATATGTGGAGGAGGTTACCTCGTTTTGCGGAAAAGTGATTCTGAAACCGCGGTTTTGGTTTTGCCAAACACCCCCTCCATCAATATTCTTCTGATGGTTTTATTTTGAGTTTCTCATTTTTTGGGCCGGCGAAGATTTGAGACCCAGATAATTACCTTTCGGTCAAAAAGAACCCAAACATGGAGCCTTTCTCTGTGGATGATACGAACGCTGGCGGCCCTGAAAAACCAAAAAGCTACATCCTCGTCCTGACTCGGTCCTGGGAATGGAGCTTAATTAGTTTGATGACGTTACCACACATCCTCTTGCCTGTGGATTCTTTTTCTCAAGATAGAGTTACGTTATCCTTTTCTTTGTCTAAAGGATCCATTTTTATCGAACCAGATTTCAAACTGATGTGATGATGCGGATGCTTTGACGGAAAGTAAAGAAATCGCGATGCCAATACAAAAGACGAGTAAAGGTTATGCCAACTTACATGCGTATGATTTCCTTCATCAGAACTTTGGATCCTCCATTTTTGAGATTTGTTCTGCATACTTAATATCAATTTATTTGTTCATATTTAAAATGCTTTATCATTTAAATTTAGAGTTAATATAATTTTTAGTTCTTCAAATTTATTCTCAATTTAGTTTTAATCCCTCAAATTTTAAATAATAAGTTTCAGTCCTCAAAATTTTTTTAATTTAAAACATTGGTCCTTACAATACAATAAAGATCTGGACCATTTTGTTCTTATAAGGATCAAAACCTATGATTTGAAATTTGAGAGATTAAAATCAAAATAAAAGTACATTTAAGGATTTAAAGATTATATTAACCCCTAAATTTAATACTAACCTGAAAAAGTATGGGGAACCCTTCAAATTTCTTACGAAGTATTACAAAGGGTGAACTTGCGAAGTCCAATTTAGAAACCTTAGGAGGATTCAAAAGGGTTATCTTGAGTCGAAAGTAAAAACACGTCAAGCGCGACCCACATGTCCTGAAATTTTCCCACAAAGTTATATTTGATTCTCTTGAAAATATGACGCTGGAGAAAGCTTTAGCCGCAGTCACCGACGCTTTATCTCCACACTAAATACTCCTCCGGTCTTTAATATAAGACCCATTTAACTAATTTGATTAGATTAAGGAAGTTAGTTAATTATAAAAAATGTGACACGTTTTTCCTAAAACACCATAATCATCTTTCTTAATATCCCCTCTCCCTCTTCTACACTTGATTATGATTGAGGGAGTATCTATAGGGGTAATTTAGAGAAAATTGATAAATATGAGAAATGGGTCTTATATTTAGGACCAAAACCAACTCACCAATTGGATCTTATATTAAAGATCGGAGGAATATATAATATGATAACGTGATATGGAACTCCACTTCATCGACAACAAACGCAAAAAACAAAAACAAAAAAAAAACCTACGGCTGGTTGACTGTCTTTTATAACTTCAAGGATTCAACCAGACTCGTAAAAGTGGATTCCAACCGTTCTTCTCCAGTCCGCTCTTATCTCCTCATGGTTCAAAGCTCTTCTTTTTACTTTTCTTTTTTCCTCTATTGCGCGACCTTTCTAAGTAGGCAGGCATTTATTTGTCAAATTGGATTCCACTGAACTAAAAGTTCATTTCCCATATTGATGATATTGGAGTATTTATGTTCTCAGAATTACCAATAAGGGCGAATTCAAACATAAACTTGAGATCTTTTTTGTGGATGTGCTTAAAAGAGGACAGACAAGACAGCAGTTTTGTCTTGTGAGGCCCAGGAAGTGCAGATGCTTCTGAAGAAGCGCATCACAATAATGCCTTAATAAAGGCTTTTGAAAAAGACTGTGGAGATAGGCTTCGTCTCAGTGAGTGGAAGCTTTGTAATGAATTAACCAATTGGAATTTTGAGGTGTAAGTACCTTCTTTGACCAAGTTTCTTCATAGTTTTCAAGAGGGCTAACTAATATATCTCTTCCTTAACCGTGCATGATTAAACTATGTGTAATATTTGGGCCGATTAAGATCTTAAATGTTCCCATTTGGTACCCTAACATTGCGGGGGTTGACCAAATATTGCCAATACCGGCTGTGCTTGGCCTAATAAATTGGCAGAAACCCACCAAACGTATATCTGCTGCATATTCCCTTGGCTTCCAAAACTACCACGCTTTTATTTTCTCATTTAGTTCAATTTGAAGTTGGTAACATGATGGTAGAAAATTCATGAGTAGATTTTACCTTATAGCTTAACGGATTTTGGGAATTTAATTATAAAACCTACCATAGGCAGGTAGATTGAGTCCTCACAAAGGAAAGAGACAAGCAGAGCCACCAGCAGAGGAAAGTGAGGGACATTGCACTGGAAGGCCCCACCTTTGGTTCCCTTTTGGTTCATAGGAATTAGGATCAACCAATGCGAATAAAGAAGAGAGGTTGGGGGGGTTAAATTTTGTGGTAACCACTCGAAACCTGCACACCTGGTTCTAAGGCTTTTTGTTGTATTCTGATTCTACTTTTACAACCAACTAAAAAGTTTACATTTTGAAGGAGCTCAATGCATTAAAAGTTCTAACCCAACAAACCCATCAAAACATAATGGAGTTTGGCCTGCGGTTGAGAAAGATCGCACCCCATTAATAACTATGGAACTTCTAACCAAACGGTGTTGGTTCTTCTAGATCAGAATTAACTTAAATTGCATAGACAGAGAGGTAAATAGAGTATTGAATCGTTGAATTGAATTATAAAAAGTTTGATACTACATGGAGTGGCACTTTATCTATGCCTCTCGCGAAAATGGTACTACTTGTTACAATACTAACATCCCTACGTCCGTAATCATCCCAAAAACAATCACTAATTCTACTGCTAACATTGCTTTTCTCTGACTCTTCCAAATTATTGCTAGTTGATGCTTCAACTCCTCCTTCATTCCCTATCGTTGTGATCCAATTCTCGTCGTCTTCCATCCAATCGGGTTCCCCTGACCTCGTAGCTAACCGTCTGATTCTAACGGCTGGCGAATTTTCCAAACTTGTATGACTATGGACTAGATTGCCCACACTCTCTGATTCTTCCACTGAACTCCAAAAGCCTTGCTCCAGAATACTTGTTGGCGAACTTGAATTAGATTCGTGGATTTGCTTAGAATTGGAATTCAATTCCGCAACAAATGGATGCTTCAGTAGTTGACTTGCCGTCCATCTCTCTTTTGGATTCCTCCTTAAGCACTTCCCCAAGAAATCCTTTGCTTCCTCTGATAGAAAACACGGAATCTCCGGCACCTCGCCGGAATATGCTATGCGGTAAAGAATCGAAACAGGGTCTCCTACATTAGGCCATGGGGAATGCCCTGAAGCCACTTCAATCATAGTGCACCCGAGTGCCCATATGTCGCAAGGATACCCCTGTTCTTCGCCACGAGCCACCTCCGGCGCCATAAACATCGGCGTCCCACTTATCGGGGCCGCCGCCGCCGCCGCCAGCTTAGCACATCCAAAGTCTGCAATTTTGGCTCCGTCTTGGCCGACTAAGATATTGGTACCCTTAATGTCACAATGTACCAACCCATTTGAATGTAGATACTCCATCCCCTGCAAAACTTGCCTAATGTAGTACGCGATCATTCGCTCGTCGAGGCGGGCACCCTGCCCGCGAGTTGCTTGAATGAGCGTGCCAAGAGGCATATACTCCATGAAAAGATTGTAGAAGACCTTGCTGTTCTCCTTTGTGATGTCACACCCTTTATAGCCAACTATATAAGGAGAGGACAGAGAAGAGAGAATTCGCTGCTCTTTCTGTAACAACCCTGAGCGAGAAAGCTCCGAAGACTTGACGGCGAAGAAGGCTTCTCCACAGTGGGGAGAGGCAGCCAGGGAGACGGTGGCCGATGAGCCATGGCCAAGGATGCTGCCCCTACTCCAGTTCATATTGTAAAAGCGGAAAAGACTCCGCTTCGAAGCGCAGAGTCCGACTTCGTTATGGAGGGCTTTATATAATACGGAGCCACTCTGGGGGTAGTTTTAAAAAGGTTCATTTTATTCAGGCCAAAAAAAAAAAAAGTTTTGTTTTATTGGTTGGTAACTTCATTGGCGCTCTCTCTCTCTCTCTCTAGCGTTGACAATTCCTTCAACGAAGAGTCCTCAAGCATCAAGGTGTCAAAATTTGGATGGAATCACGTTAGTGCGGGCAGTGGCATGTGGGAAAATTAAGTACGCCATCATACGGAGAATTGAATTCAAGTTTATCGTTTTGTACACATATTTTAAGAGTCAAGTCCAAGAAAGTGCAAAAAGTGGATAAACTGGCATTAGATTAATAGGTTTGGTGGGCTGTGAAGGGAGAGGTTGGAGTTTAGATGAGGTTTGATCAGATGGATAATCAAAACCATAGATTCCATATTTTGTATCATAGTTAGCTAGAGTTTGAAAATCCATTCGTGGGTTTTTAAAAGTAAAGGTGAATGGGGTGGGTTGAACCACCGAAACGGTTGAATTTGAGTATCATTTTTCAGATACTATGGAGGAAGTCTCAATTTTATAACGCTATTTAAAAAAAACCAGTATGTGTTTAAGAATAGTTGAAGTCAAACGGCGCTAGTAATTGATCAGAAGTCAAAAACCAGAATGAATAAAATCTGATTGAGTCGCCATGTTCTATTTTGTATTTGGGTTCTGATCTACCTTACCTTCCATTTTCCTGTTGTTTTTTGTCCCAATTATCCATTGACCCGGACTTAATTGATGAAGCTTCACCAATTTGTGCTGACACGCAGCCGTTGGTAAACGGTAAAATATACTGCTAAATAATACTCTTCCGGTTCTAAATATAAGATCCATATAAATATTAGTATAAGAGTTTTATATTTAGGATCAGAAGAGATAGTAATAATAGTAGTAGTAATAATAATAATCATCATCATCCTAGTGTTACTGTTGGGATGGTGATGTTTTCTGGCAAGGAATGAGATATTAAGCAGGCTTCAAAAAGTCAATAACAATGGGAGAAGAGAGACATAATGAGAAGTGCATGTGGGGGTCCTTCAAAATCTTGCATCGGTCAATTTAGACACAAGGCAATAAAGACCTGCAAAATTGTGAGATTTGCACCATCCATGTGTGGCCACGCACTTCCAGCTCGGGGGAACACTGTTGACACTTAACCAGGATTCTGAATACAAAAGCGAGTAGTTTTTTTTTTTTTTTTGAAGGAGGAAGAAAGGTAGATTGAGAGTGCAATAAGAAAACAAAATTTATTATGAGAATATGTCTCTAAATAATACAATATAAACACATTTGGTTAAAATTTGAAAATACGGTAAAATGCGTGTGGGTGGGTGGGTAATTTTTTTCATATAGTAATTAGTTGGTCTAAATAAATATTGATTCCCAAATCATTAAACATTGTTTAATGTTTACTTCATAATGTCCCCTTCTAGAAAAAGTAGCAAAGGCAGGTTGAATTTGAATTATTTTAGAGAGAGAGAGAGAGAGAGGGAGGCAAAAAACGAAGCCCGTTCAATCCGGGAGTATTATCTAGCAAGTAATGATGATAATATTAGAAGTGGGGGCGTTATTAGGCCATCAAGAATTAGAACTCAGAAGTAGGCCTCACTATTTGTCTTAACGAGGGCATCTTTTGCAGGCCAAAACATGCTCAATTCATGTTTGAAACTACGCACCACCACATCTAGAGTAGTGATTGATTGTTTGATTGATTGTGAATCACTGAATGTGACATACTCAGTTTCGCTACGTCATATGAAGCCATCCTAATGAGAAAAAAAGTGTTATTTCCAAAACAAAAACATGATTACTATTATCTATGTTCTAATTATAAGACCGTTTGTGATTATAAACAAAGTCTTATAATTAGGACCGAAAGATCTTATAATTAGGATCAGAGATAATAATTACTAACAGTCTTATAGTCTGGTGGTGTGAGAGTTTTTTCATGAGAACGAAAAAAAAAAAAAACGTCAATCATTATATGGTGGGTATTGTTTGACGGTTGACGTTCTTTTCTCTTAACACAAAATGTTGCTTGCGAGGGTTGGGAATAACTTGTGGGTGTCTAAAATATGAATCGTGAGATGAACGTTATTCTGCAAATGACCAACAAACAAACCAAAATCATATAAATATATTAGCATGTTAATTAACAAGCACACCCCAGCTAATCAGATCTACAAATAGCTATCAGATCTACAAATATTCCTTCGTACCCCCCTATACAACTAACACCTAATTAAGCACCTCATAGAGGGAGGTTGGCTGGTGTGATGCTGAAGCTAAGCTATAAGAAAAAAGAGCATATCAAAAGGGTGGCGTACAATACAAGATTGGTAGAAAATTTCTGCCCTATGTATATTTAACCACGCTAGACAATTATTTTTTTTAAAAAAAGAAAAGAGTAAAAACAGGTAAGGGTTAAAATGGGAGGGGGCAAATTGGCATAGTGAAGTAATCATAAAAAGTGATGGTCTTTATTTATCTGATTTGTAAAGGGATACAGGGAGCAAATTGTCGATTGAACAGGGGTGAGGTTTGTTGGAACCGGTAACAATGTGACGAGATTTGCACTGCTACAATTTTTTTTTTTTGGTTGCTCACCCAGTTCACCGAAATTTTGCTCTGACTACATCTGGATCTGACTCGCGTCGCGCATCTAATTGTGGTGGGTGAGTCCCCAACAGGGATTACACTGCTGTGGGTAATTTTTTTCATATAGTAATTAGTTGGTCTAAATAAATATTGATTCCCAAATCATTAAACATTGTTTAATGTTTACTTCATAATGTCCCCTTCCAGAAAAAGTAGCAAAGGCAGGTTGAATTTGAATTATTTTAGAGAGAGAGAGAGAGAGGGAGGCAAAAACGAAGCCCGTTCAATCCGGGAGTATTATCTAGCTAGTGAAGTAATGATGATAACATTAGAAGTGGGGGCACTTATTAGGCCATCAAGAATTAGAACTCAGAAGTAGGCCTCACTATTTGTCTTAACGAGGGCATCTTTTACAGGCCAAAACATGCTCAATTCATGTTTGAAACTACGCACACCACCATCTAGAGTAGTGATTGATTGTTTGATTGATTGTGAATCACTGAATGTGACATACTCAGTTTCGCTACGTTCATATGAAGCCATCCAAATGAGAAAAAAAGTGTTATTTCCAGAACAAAAACATGATTACTATTATCTCCGGCTGTAATTATAAGACCTCGTTTATAGATTATAAACAAAGTCTTATAATTAGGATCAGAGATAATAATTACTAGCAGTCTTATAGTCTGGTGGTGTGAGAGTTTTTTCATGAGAACGGAAAAAAAAAAAACGTCAATCATTATATGGTGGGTATTGTTTGACGGTTGACGTTCTTTTCTCTTAACCAAAATGTTGCTTGCGAGGGTTGGGAATAACTTGTGGGTGTCTAAAATATGAATCGTGAGATGAACGTTATTCTGCAAATGACCACACACGTGAAAACAAACCAAAATCATATAAATATATTAGCATGTTTAATTAACAAGCACACCCCAGCTAATCAGATCTACAAATATTCCTTCGTACCCCCCTATACAACTAACACCTAATTAAGCACCTCATAGAGGGAGGTTGGCTGGTGTGATGCTGAAGCTAAGCTATAAGAAAAAAGAGCATATCAAAAGGGTGGCGTACAATACAAGATTGGTAGAAAATTCTGCCCTATGTATATTTAACCACGCTAGACAATTATTTTTTTTTAAAAAAGAAAAGAGTACAAATAGGTAAGGGTTAAAATGGGAGGGGGCAAATTGGCATAGTGATGTAATCATAAAAAGTGATGGTCTTTATTTATCTGATTTGTAAAGGGATACAGGGAGCAAATTGTCGATTGAACAGGGGTGAGGTTTGTTGGAAACGGTAACAATGTGACGAGATTTGCACTGCTACAATTTTTTTTATTTGGTTGCTCACCCAGTTCACCGAAATTTTGCTCTGACTATATCTGGATCTGACTCGCGTCGCGCATCTAGTTGTGGTGGGTGAGTCTTCCAACAGGGATTATACTGCTACAATTTTAATGATTTATGTTTAAAATTTTTTTAGAAAAATAAAAAAATAAAAAATAAATCTAAACAACCTATATTGGATCTTATTGAGATTTTGTGAAACTGGTTTGAAAACTTGTTTGTGTTATAGCCCGTTTGGATTTTTTTTATAACTGATTATGAATACGAAATAAAACTCTTTTTTTATGTATTTATTTTGTATTTTAAAATTATGATACAAATACACTTATAAGTGATTTATTTATGTTAGCTGAGGGAAAGGTTTATACGTGATGAGAGTGGCGTGGCTTGAAAGGTATGGTACGCATAGTGGCTCTAATGATAAAGAATGAGGGGGTTCGAAGCCTTTAATTTGATCACACGCAAGTCACGTGGTCCTGGGTCGAAGCATAGGCCATACGTACGTTTACGCGGAAATTATGAGAGGTGAGGGCTAACACGTGTGAAATGGGAGAGTATAAAGAGCACGTTTATTATGCGTGCCCATCATTTCGTTGTCGCCAACAACCCCCCCAAAAAAAAAAAAAAAGGTTTGTGTGGACATGAGAGCCTCTACGTTCTCACGTTCCATGCGTTTGGTGCCTATTAAATTACCATCTTCCTTCGGCTCTCCTGTTCCCACGCCCACTCTAAACAACTCATCATATTTACAGCTGCACATCCTCAAGCTGCTTTTATCTCTTTTCTTTTTCAGAAAAAAAATTACTTTAATTTTTCACATGTGATTTAAAGTTTAAAATTAATTTTCCCTGTACGATAATTGAACTCATAGAATTAATTAATTTCGCAACTTTTGCTTTAGTTTTCTTTTTTTCCTTTTGTGTCCATTTGTTTCCTTTAATTGCAGCTTTGGTTCAAACATTTAATCATTCTCTCGGTTAAAATTTGATATGTTTTCCATCGTGAT